GCTCTTCACCTGGGTTGTTGATGAGTAAGTTGAACAAGACTGGACCCAGTACTGACCCCTGGGGAACACCACCAGCTGCAGGCCCACATTCACGACATGGAATACAAATTAACCACTAGCCATCCTTCCTTTGTGTTAGAACAGCTTCTGCAGCCACCTGCTGTAACTGTCAAATGTAGGAATTATGTATTTCTACTCTACCAGTTTGTTCCACAAATACAAAGAACTGTAAAATTAACAGCATACGTGCAATTTTAAAAATTGTCACGTGACTACATTCAAACAGATATGAAGAAATGCACTGGCGTGTTCCTGAGGTGGGGTTTCTGCCTCAGGTTTGTTTGTTTTTTTTCCTTTCTTTGCTGTTTTTCAGAGATCAGACAAGTAATGCTGCTTGGCTGCGTATGTGGACTAGTCAGTCTTGCAGTTCTGACACGTCTGACTTTCTTATGTAGGAAGGAAAGGTAGGCCTCAGTTGAGCTGAAAAAAACAGACGAACCTGCTAGAGAAACAGCAAGTGTTATGACCTTTTTAATAGCTTTTCTCAATGACAAAGAAATCGATCCTGGTATTTTCCTGCTAGTATCTGTTATGAAAAACAACAATTCTGGATAATTCCTATGACCTGCTAGAAGACTATGAAGCAAAGTTGGAACTGTATTATCAGGACATGCAAACATGAGATTCATTGACTGAGAAAGAACATGACTTTTTGGTCAAAATAATTTATTTGCTGAGTGATAAGGCTCAGCATTAAAAGTGCTCCATTTCAGAACCGGTGTGCTTGTGATACCAATAGGTAAATTTGATGTATCATCCAAGGAATGCATTGCACGATAATGTAACTTTCCACGTATCTTTGAACATATTCCCACTTTAAAGCATGCATGAATTTGCCTAGAGAATACTTGTATGTCTCTTGTGCCAAAGAGGTGAACAAAATTTTAAAACTGTATCAGTTTGCTGCCCATTCTTGGAACCTTTCTACCACACAGAAATAAACTCACTACAAAAACTATTAACATTTTAAAGTAAATCTCTACAAAATGTTACTTAGGTAATAAATTACTTCCTGGAGGTTTTAGTACTTTGTTTTAAAAAGTTGTTATGATTTCATACATTATGTATATAGTTCAGTCTGTTAACCAGTGCTATGTTTTTGGCCCTGTGCCTTTCTAACAGGCTTGTCATTTCAGAGACTCTTAAACCAGAACACAGTATGAGAGCTATGCCCATCACCGAAAATACAGCCCATTAATTCTGAGTTCAATCATCAATTGTCTGTCAAAGAGCCAGAGACTATTAAATTTTTCTCCTTCCCTTTAAATCACATAAACATTGTTTCCTACACTTCACAGAGAACATTCATATTCCAAAAGCTTTTTCTTCCTCCCCCATACAAAACAAAATGGACACTCCACACAGGGTAGATAACTGCAGCAATTAATGGCTTCTGCATACATAAAAATGCACAAAGAACACCTCCTATATTTGCCAGATTCCACACACCCCAGATTCCCACATAAAAACCCAACTTGTTAAAGCACTACCATAGATATCTCCCATTTGGGAGCAGCTTACAGACCTGCTGCTCTAAACTCAGAATTGTACATTAAAAAATAATTTAGAAAAATAGAATAAAGCCATCAACCCCTCTAAACTCTTGTACATTTTGCAAATCTGTAGGTATTTTTCATATGCTACACAAAGCTTATAATTTATGAAAAAAATCTAAAATAATTGAGAGAGTTTAATGAAAGTCCATAGTACTCAGCGGGGCTCTGTATTTGGGTAGCAATAGAAGATGCAGTCCTTTGTGTAGCAGTAACATATTCTGAATGAATAATTTTTAACTAGGGAAAGCTTATCAGACAATTATTGAACCATTAACGTCTGTCATCTACTGGGTACTCCTCTGGATCTCAGGGTAAATATAACTATGATAAGACTCATGTTTCATATAAGAAGGGGAAGAAGCAGTCCTACATCCTGTAGGTCTTTGAAAACTTCTGCCTCTGCATCCAACTCTGACATTCATCTAGAAAAGGAACTGTTCTCAGTGTTCACAGCTAGGACCAGACTTGCAGAGTAAAATAGAGTGAAGTATCTTAAAGAGCAGCAAGACCAATAGAAACATACAGAAATCCTAGTAATTGAATGCTACATGCTTTTTAGATGTCTTTCTCCTTTAACAAACAGAAAACCAAGTAGGGACTGTATTTTCAGGCTCTCTCTAGTGACATTTGTATCCTCAAAGTGAAAGATAAGTTTCTCAGACCAACACATGATTCCAACAGTAATTCGAGGGGGTTGGGGGTGTGTGCAGAATCACAGTATTTAGAAAACAAATTGCAGGAAATCAGAATATAAAGGTGCTCAGTAAACTGACTTACGCTTTTCCCTCTCAGTTAGTTGTGATGGTTCCACATAGTCATGAATGCATCTACTAATATTTTGGTGATATGTTTCTCTTAGAGGAAAAAAGGGGGGGGGAGGTGAAGCCAATGTTGGGTACAGAATTCACCAAATTCCCCACTTCCCCTGTCTTTCTTGTACTCAAAACCCAACTTAGACCCTATTAGTGTTTTCAAAAGTGACATTTGCCCAGTTTCTCCTTTTGCTCCTGTAATTTAGACCACTGTACTAGAAAACAGAAATTGACTGTTGCACAGGGATAACAGCAAACCTTCAGTGTTCTCTAATTTCATCAAATGTTGCTCAAATAAGGGAGTGCTGCACATATCCTACAGACACTACTTTTGGTACGTAAATATTGTTCCTTGGGGGATGTATGCACTGGAATTACACAGAACTGGTACTTTAAAAACTGGTACATTGCTATTCCACATAACCAAATATTCTCACTTTGATCTAAGCAACGGCATTACAATAACTACTTTAACAGTCTTCTCTAGCCTTTCAGGTTTTCTTAAAAAAAAATTGTCTTTTCTTCCACAGACACAAATGCAACCAGAAACTTGTTTCAGAGTTTCCACTCGTATCTGAACAAGAAACAATGAAACTCCAGAGGGGTTTTAATGAAATACAGAAAAAGCACAGCAGGGGATTAAGCTGTCCACAGCAACATAAACTTTCCAAACAATGTTTTTATACAGCATGCTATCATTTGAATTCTGCTTTTGATACAATTCAACACTAGTTATATGTGAAATGCTAACCAGCTTCCTGGGACTGTATCACAGCAGGCTCAGCTTGCTGTCAATCATGAGCAAACATGATGCTTCTGGAAGCATCAGTCACAGAGTTACAGGCATTTGTTCCTTCTAATTGTCACATTTCTGCCAGCAGAAACACAGTCCTGACAAAAATCAAAAGAATTCATGATTTCACTGCACTTTTCTTCTATTAGTTGAAAGCTGGGAAAATAGCTAGGGTAGTATGCCAGCTATTAACTGAGAAAAAATTGTCTTCCCTGGGGCCATGTAAGGCTGATGTAGATAGATGTGAAAGTGGATGCACAGTCAGATGACTACTGGCAAGTTGGGTTGAATTTGCAGGTTGTTGGGTGATTTTTAGTAAGAAGGGAGAGATACTGAAGATACTCAAACACTGCATTCTTACATCTAGGCAAGTCTCTGAATACTGGCTCAAAGAGGCATCTGTGTTTCAGTTCTGACCTTATTTTAAAATGATACACTTGGGAGGAAGGGCGAGGAAGTACTTGGATAATGAAACCTTTCCTTTCAGGTTAACTTTAATGTTTATTTTTTTAAATCCATCTTTATTCAACTGTCCAGTCAGAGTCAACCTTCAAAACAAAAAAATCTGCTAACCGCACTGGAAATACTTTGCAAAACTTGCAATGCTTTCCCTTGTATACCTGCAACATGCATACTCTTGGGGAGGGGGGTGTGTTATTTCCAGCTTTATTATGTTTCATTATCTTCATTAAAACATGATTTCTGCACTACTACCTCGTACAGAACCCTTTTACAAAAAAGGATTCACCATTTGCTTTTGCCTACATCCCAAAGGGTTTGTGAAGTCAGTTCTGTGTTGTGCAACACTTCAATGGTGAAAGAATTGCTAAATTTTGCAGGTCATTTGGCCTGGTTTTCTAAGGTCTTTAATTAATAAACTACTCGAAAATCATGGTGGTTTCAAAAAACAAAGATAAACTATGCATCAAATGTACAGGAATACTAAATGAGTAAAGCAACAGTGCAGGTTTTACATTATAATGGGAACAAGACAAATTGAAAGAAATGCCTCACACCGTGTATTATTAATTATAAAATTATTACTTATTAGCTGCCATTGCTGTTGCCATTGTTGCTGTTTGTAAACAGAGACCACAAACCACAAGCAGAAATCAGGTGAACAGGTAACACAGTGGGGTCCCAGTCCTTTGAGAGGAGAATTTTGTGGGTCATTAAATCACAACATAGTAATGTACCAAAAGGAAGTGTCGGCAACAGCTTTAAAGCGCTCCGCCTCCTCACTCTGTCCTGCGGTTTGGCGGTGAACGAGGACGGGGAAAGGGACAGGGGCCGCCTCGCGGCGCGCGCGCGCACTCACCGCTCCCGCCGCGCCCGCGCGGTGCTGTCTCTGAGGAACGTGTGGCGCGAGTCCGCAGCGCGCGAACGTCTCGTGCCCGTGCGCCCGCGGACGCCCAAGTCCCTGGCTCCGCGCGCCTACGCGCCCCAGCGCGAGACCCCGCCACGGGCTTACGCCGGCTCCGCCCTGCGCCGGGACGCAGCGCGCGCCGTGGGGCGGGTCCCTGCGGCGCTGCCCGCGGGCGGGGGCAGTGTTCCGCTGCCCGGCCGTGCCCGCCGCGCGGGAGGGGCCTTTCCCGTCGTAGAACGACGCCCTAAAGCGCCGCGTGCCTGCCAGTTCCACGCCGCTCTCGGCCGCGTCCCTCAGGCAGGCGCTGCTCGGGTGCAGCCCTTTGGCCAAGCCGCGATCACGCAGAGCGGCTGTGAGCGGCGAGAGCTGCACGGCACCAGTACTTAGTTCACAGCGTCCTTTTTGTTTCCCCCCGGCCTGGCTGCAAGGGATGACATAGGCTGCACCTGCGCGCTCCCGTCTGCTGGCAGACAACTCCCTTGGACCCACAGCCCGGAGGGCGAGCGTGGGGCCGGTACAGCGGCGGGCCGCAGGCAGGGCCCGGGCTATGGGGCTGGCGGGTTCCTGCTCGGCCTCTCCCTCGACCGCGACGTGTGGCCGGTGTGAGGGCACAGCGGGGTGACGAGAGCGAGACGTGGGTCGCTCCTGGGGCGGAGTGGGGGAGAAGGGGCCCCGGGCAGTTCCTCACTGGCGGCGGGGCGGCCCTGCCTGAGCGGAGGGCTTTGCGGACCCCATGCCCTGGCAGTGGAGCGAGCACCGGCAGCCTAAATCCGTCGGTGTCAAACGCAAAGGCAGCGGTTCTCCAGCTCCGCGCTACAGCAGGTTGGGATGTTGGTCTCTATCCTTTCCTGTCACATGGCTGGTAATAGGATCCCTCATCTGCCACTCGGCACCTCGCCGGGGCGCAGTTTCAGGACACATGCTGTAGGGCCGCCGCTTCCCGCACTTCGCGTTCTTCCTGGCCGCCCGCGACCACCTCTGCCCCGGAGCAGGGGGGCTGCCTCCTGTGAGTGCGGTGCGGCCCGGCGGCCGCTGCCCATGGAGCCCCCGGCTCTCGCCGCCGTCCTGGCCTTGTCAGGTCTGACGCTGAGCTGCTGCCGGGAGCCCGTTCTCTCCGGTGAGTGACGCGTCGCGGGGAGCCGGGAGGGGGGAGCGTGTGGGGCCGTTCCGCCATCCCCTCGCGCGGGGGTGATGGCGGTGGAGCGGGGCGGGCTCCCCCTGAACCCCGCAGACTGCACTGGCGCGCAGCCTCCGGCATAGGGCTCTGCCGCCCACCAGTACCTCTTCGAGGTCGCGACGACGGCTCTTCCTGCTCGCCACTGCGGGGCACGGCTCGAAGCTGCTCGAACAGACGCGCAGGGGGGATTTTCGCGCGGGGTTTGCAGCGTGTGGGGTATCTGAGGATCTCCCTGTACTCGCTGAGCTGGGAGCGCGGGAGACTGGAGGCGTGAGGTAAAAGGAAGAAGAGCAGCACTTATCTCTGTAAAAGTGGTTTCGTAGCTAGATCTGCAGAACGGAGGCATCTGCAAGGAGCAGGGACTGTGGGGCGTGGGTACACTCACTGGGACATGAAGTAACAGTGGCAGCAGGGCAGAACCGGCGCTGAGGAACGAGAACTCGGGGTGGCTGCCCCAGCGCCTGTCACGAACGGACTCCTCTGACCGTTGCGGTTCTTGTTCAGCCAAGGAATCTGGGAAGCCTTAAGCTTTGCTACCTGTTAGTGTGATTCTTCACTTAAGATGTCTCTGCAGCCTTTTGTCCTCATCTCAGTTGCTAGTGATGATTTCAAGTATCACAGTTCCACTCTGATAAACTGCTTAATGAGTTTTGAAGTGGCTGTTTCAGTTCATCACAGTGTCAGGGCCGTCAGATGCATGGTACACCTGGGTACATTTTGTGTATCCTAATCGTTATTCTTTACAATGTAGAATTTGCTCTACTTTCACCATGAACAGGTACTTGCTCAAGGTTTTGTAGACGTTTAATTAGATTTGGAAAATACTTACATAAACTTTATTGAGGGTGGGGAGGGAGAGAGGGAAGGAAGCATTTTATCACGGAACTCAGAAGGTAAAATTTACAACTTCTCAGAAGTTACCTGAAGTGAGTAAAACATGATTGTCTTTTCAGATAAGAGTCTAGAGAGCTGCCTAGGTAGGGACATATCTAAAGCATGCCTAGAATGGTCTGTTCCCAGTACCATTAGGACATGTTTGGTGCACACAATAGGTACTTCTTCCCTTGCTTAAGTTGAAGAATGACTTCTTTTAAGGTTTCTGAGCAGAACTGTGGACAGAACACTCCATCTGTGACCATGTCCCTCACAGCAGGCTGCATGACAGCAAGTGGAGGATATATCCCAGTGTGAATGTTGGGTTCATAGGCTATTGAGAGGATCATACCTGTTTACACACCTGCACTTCCCCCCTCTAACCAACATCTAACTGCATGCACTGGCAGCCACTAAAGTGGACAGAGATGCCTGAGCGCAAGCAGCTATTGTAGGAGGAGGTGGGAAAACTACTGAGAGGAATATTGCCTTTGAGTGAAGGGGTAGTAAAGGAGAATGGATGTAGAAAGCACTGCCCCCTCTGTGTCTTGTGCTAAAGAACCTGAAACAGTGCAAATCTACACTTCAGCAAGGACCTGTAATTTATATGCCATGTACAAATCTGCAGGGCTGCTAACATGCACAAACCATACCCCAGGATCATCTTCTTGTCAGTCCACAGGACCAAACTGGGATCAGCTGGGTCAGGTTGTACTTTCAGCTAGCAGAATTCTGAAATGACAAACACGGATATTTCTTTTGTAAGGCAGTTTATCATATAGTATATTTTTAATCCCTATTCCTCAGTTTAATAAAACGCACATCTTAATATTATTGTAAAATGCAGTCATAATGCAGGCTGTGTCACACCATCATTTACTAAGACAGGAGAGAAACTTTAACTTCTGGAATCGCCTTATGAAAAATTACTCAAATTGTCAGAAATTAGAGTGAGTTAACAATCGTTTTTGCACATGGTACTGTGCTGCTTTTCACAGAATGTTTCTGCTTCACTGTGTGATGTCTAACAGTTTCTATTGATCCAAACTCTGACATTTGCAGCATTCAAACTTCAGTCATACCACATTTCTCAAGTGAATCAGAAATAAGAGACGGGATAATAGATTGCCTAACATGAAAAGACTGTCTAAATTTGGTGAGTTTTGTATTACAAAGTCAAAGAGATGGAAGCAATTGTCATGAAATAATCAAAAAAGCATTTCTAACCAGACAGATAGAAAATGAAATAGTCAGACACTTCAGCATATCATGCTTCTACATGCATAGTGCATAGCTCAAAATCCAGAGTTACGTGAATGGATTTAGGCAGGATGGAGCCAAAAAAGCAGGAGGGAGGCAGGGATTACATGCTGCCAGCTGCAAAATTTGCATTCTTTGTCATATCACACTATAATTGTTGTGCAGTTGACCACTCTCTCCATCTGCACAGTGGCTATGGCCCATCCTGATAAAATTTCCAAAGGGATTCAGTCTGCCATGCTTGACAATGGAACAACAGTTTTAAAACTTCACAGAGAAAAATAAACAAATGAGTATATTAAGGAACAGAAATTCTTATGGGGCCACATCATGCATTCTTACTTCCAGTGATAAAGAATCACAAAACAAGTGTGTTTGCATCTTGTGGCTGAGGACTAGGCAGCAGCTGCAAAGCTGTTGCTGATATAGCATATTTGTATTCTACAACTAAAGAGAAAAAAATGTACAAAATGCATACTTTTAAACATTAGAATTAAGGGTAACTGCCTCTCATGCTATATCCTAATTCACCTGCTTCAAACATATTCCATAAAGAGGAAGAAAAAATCAAACCCCAAAGCCACAAAAAAAAACCAAAAAAGGGGAAGTGATGAAAAAGTGGTTGGATTGAAGGTTAGTAATCAAAGTTTTACAAGAATAGCAAATTCACATCTATAACAACTCATACAGTGCCAGGGAGCACAAGTGTGGAGCGTCACGTCTGTATGTTTCCAGGAATGTATATTCTTACAGGACAGACGGATGTGTTAGTCAAGGTTTGATCAAACGTCAGGTAAGTGTTCACTGTGGCTACTCCCTGGTTCAGGCCAATGCTATATAAGCTGCTAATTCTGACCAGCAAAAGCAATTCTGTTTGAGGCCTTTAAAAATTGTATGTGTGTCTCTGTGTGTGTTTGTGTGTGGATACGTAGAAATGAGAGGGAGATGATTTTTAAACTACTTACAGAGTACCCCTACATTGCAAAGAATAAATGATCAGCTAACCAAGCACTGTCACAGCAGCACATCAGTTTAGCTGGCTGATTTACCAAATGGGGAGTTACTTTCTAGTGATTTTGAAAACTGTAATTTTAAACAAAGATCATTCTTTCCTGAAGTTTTTTTTCTTGAGCTTGTGTCAATTGTTGCGTTGTGTTGCTACAGTATAGGCCTGATAGTTTTAATAAGGGCTTTTGTTATATTCATATTAATTAGAATAGTAAAATATTGAAATGCAAAAACACTACACTGATTTTCCCCATGCATGAGTCTAAAGCAGCCTTATGTTTCACAAAAGCATTTATTTTGCATCATAACGCAGTACGGAATGAGATGAATTTTTTTTTGACCAGTCATATGACAGTAGGCAAATGAACTTTTGGTTCAATCGATAAAACTGCATCTTCAAAGAAAACCATTGCACTGCTAAAAATATTTTTAATAATGACCACAGAAGCTGTATTTGTCTCTTTGATCTCCTGAAGCTTCTTCTGGTTTTAATCAGTGTTCCCACATGAAGAACTGTGGCAACCTATGATAATAGAATCCCTATTTGCATCCATAGGGAAACAAAAATGTTCACATCTGAAGAAGGTAATTTGGTGTTCTGCCCCTCCATCCGTGGGCCCCTGCCTCTGTACTGGTGGGGTATCTTGGCATCGGTTAAGTGGTTTCTGTCCTTTCCTCTGTGCGTTACTCTCTCATTGAAGTGTTTTTGCTGTCTAATTATAGCCTTTCAATCAAATTAGAGACTACAGCATCTGGTTAGTGCCTGTAACTGTTGCCATCTGCACCTACATACAGTGCTTTCATTTAAGGAGGAGTACTTAAATTGCAAGCTCTAGCATGAACTAGAAAAATTTAGGTAGAATGGAAATGACTTAAAAGTCTTCTTACCATGCCTTGTGTGCATTGAGCAGCTGATATGGAGTCATTATCAGACCTGGCACCTTTGATTCCATGTTCTTACATTCTGCTTAAGCATTTTTCTTACTCTTCTGAATGGCTGTAAGGAAAACAAGTAAGAACTTGTTTAGTAGGCAGCTGTAACATGTAAATTCAAGGAATCTTTCTTGCCTTACAGAACATTTAATGTTCTGGCTATCACACCACTGTAATGAAACCCAAGATTTAAAGAGCCACTTTCATTTACCTTTCATTTATCTGCTTCTTGTTGTCAACCTTTAATCTTTCTGGCCACTAGTCAGCACTCTGAGTAGCTTCCAGAACTTAAAGCAAACATCTTAAAAAAATCATTGGAGACTCTGAAATGTCAATGTTTTATCATCAGCGCTTCATTCAGTAAAAAAGTCAGACTGTTACATGCTGCACTACCTTAATTTTTCAAGTGATCCTAAAGTGGTGCCTGAAGTGGCACATGTGGAGTGCAGGCAGCCCTACAGTCCCAGAGTAACAAAGGCGTAAGTGCTCATTGTAAGATCCCTACATTGAAGAAGGAACTGAGACAGATGGAAAAAATTTCTACTACAGCTGCTGTTTGATCTTCCAAATGTTGATCTGGCTCTAATAAACCTAATTGTGAACCTGTGTCACACACTGAACATTCACTCATAATGGACAACCATCCCCAGGCATATTTTTGCTTTTTCTTTCTAGTAGTTGCCACTCAATACACACTTTTCTAGTCTCCGTATTTCTTTTAAAAGAGTTATTTTTCTGTCAACCATAGCACCTGATATGTTGAAAACAGAAGCAGCCCCCGCAACACACTGCTGTCCACGTTTTCTCACTAAAGCTCATAGGCATTATTCAGAACAGGACCTGTTGGAACCCTCCAACTTTTCATGACTAGAACCACTGCAGTGGTTCAGCCTGACTAATCCTGTTTGCAGATAATCCCAACAAAACAGTAGAAGCAGCAGGGTCATTAGACAGTTAATACAACAAAATCATCACAGACGTTGATTTTAATAATGGATTTGACACAAGCCTCTACTTCAGACTATATTTGAAACCCAGCTGACTAAGATGTTGAAATACGAGGAGGTTGAACACTTCATGAGTTGAATGGTCACAGCTTGCTTTATGTCCTGCCTAAAACCCTGGTGGTTTAATACGGGTTTACACTTGACAGGGTAGTTTAAACTCAGTTTTGGGTACATGAACAGAAACCATGTGACAAATTATCAAGCATAGCGGCTTTCTCGTGCCTTCTAGAAAGCTGACAGTTTTGGCCTCCACAAAGTGCCTGTTCTTCCCTTGCTGTCTTTGCCACTGGGAGAGGACTTGGATATAGTGCAAGCTCTGTCATAGTACTACAGTCTTGCAAAACAGAAAGTCATAGAACTGATACTGATTTCCTTGAGTCACTGTGCAGATGTTAGTTAGATTCCCAGCGAAGGGCTTTATAGCCTAAAGTAACATGGAAGTATCAGCTAATGTAAGGCAGTCAGATCCAGTGGGTGCCAGAACAGTAAAGGAAATGGGATTGTTGTTGGATGGTTGGTTGATTGTTTTTTTTCTCTCCTTTCTACATGATCATAATCTACCAAAGAGAAATCAGGTAATTTGAGTAAGCAAGCCTGAGTTTTACCAGTAGTGTTCACTCCACTCTTTTCTGACTGTTTTAGTTAGATGAACTCTTCTGAATCAGTTTTTTGCAGACAAATCCAGCTGACCTTTGTTTTAAGCTCTTTTTTTCCCCACAGGATTATTGCACCAATGGTGCAAGATGAAAGAGGAGGTTCTGAGCTCCAAAATCTTTTAGGACTTCTGTCTTCAAAGTGCAGCCTGTGGATTAGAAGTGGAGAGGACAGTGGTCTGTCTGCAGACAAAACATTCATTTTGCACCTTTAACACACTGGGAATATTAATTTCACAGTGAGATCACTAAGGTAGTGTCTTGGCTGTTGTGCAACAAAATATGGCAAAATCACTGTGTAATAAATAGTATTCAGATGTTTACTGCCAAGATACTGAATATGCTGAGAGATCTGTTTTCATATTGCTAGGAATTTTATAGAAAACTGTACAAAGGATATCTCAGCAGATCTCAAAGCTGACTGTTTAAGGTAAAAGAGTGTAGAACAAAGGACCTGATTTTTTAAATGCCAATAGCTACTTAGAATGCACTTCCATGCTACGGCAAAATTATTAATAATAATTAACAAAATGAAAATTTCCTAGCGAATTCCCTGTAACACAGAAAGGTATGTATTTTATATGATAACAGCTGCTAAATTCCAAAACTAAGTTTCCATTTCAGTTTTTCTGGGATAATCATTGGTTTTACGTTGTATCTTACTGCCTCTTCCTTCCACATCTAGATGCTAACAAAACCACTACAGCTCAGATAGCACATTGTTCCCAAATCTCTTGGTAGTACAAAAGTACAAAGTGTACAGGAGGCACTGTTACAGCTACCTGTTGTCTTGCAAACAAGACCTACAGCTAAGAAGAATGAAGAGCTCTAACTCGTTCTTTTGTGCAGTGTCCTTAAAGTCCTAGTGTAGTGCAACGAAATTTGAAGAAAATCTATTTTAAAAAAAGGAAAAAAAAAAAAATCAGCTGACATGAAAATGAAAGTCAGTTGCTGCTGCAAGTTAGAGCATGGGCCAGTCTTAGCAGATCCTAAAATGGACTGATGTTAACTTCAGTTTAGTTTAGTGTGTGTGCCAGATTACCTTCAGGTATTGTAGCATTCCTTGCATTTCAGAGTAGATGTTAGCACATATTGCTGTTCATTAGAAATGAGAAGCAAAAAAAGCAACATCACTAAACTGAAGTAGATGTCTTTTATGGATATGCTTATCACTTCTTGTAATTGCTTCTTTGTAATGTATGTTGTTTTGTTTATCCAGTTTGATAATGTTTTCTTCTCTTCTATGCCAAATTCATCAACTTGTATTTTTCAGCTGACATAGAAAAACTTAATTAACTGCAAAGTAAAAAGAGGTATTTAAGAAAGCTGCAGCACTGTGGTGATTTTAAAGTGGGGTGGGTTTTTTTCCTATGTTTATCCAAGTATCTGTGGTGGCCTCAGTACTGGAAACTCAGATTTGCATTTTCAGGTAAATGTATGTAGCTCACCTTCATGGCTAAGGCAGTCAGGTAAATTACAGTAGGGAAGAGTATTGACTTGAAACTTGGTTTTGTTAAGTTAGACGGCTTTTTGTCCATAGATGATAGCAGTATACATTAATGGCAGTGCAGACACCTCTGTGCCTTCAGCAACAAAATTCCATCTAATACAATCCTAACTTGCCTAGGCATGAAAATGTGCAGTGAAAGCACAAAAACATCAGCTTTCATCTGCTGTGTAATAAAACAGTGAAATAATCATTATAATTGCACCATTCTGATATTTGTGGGGGCAGACTAAAGTTATTTCAAAGGCATTGTTTTAATAATACGTTTTCCCATCTCTCACAGTATTTCTAAATACAAAAAAGGTGTACTGCTAATATCAGGATTAAGCTGAGAGTGTTTTTTTTTTTACCTCTTTCTACTGCAGCCATACAGGTCTTTCTAGCCTTGTTTGTAAGGTATCTTGTAAGGGACACTGAGATCAGCAGCCTCCACTTAAGAAAAAGCACGCTCCCTTTCCCTGGGGCAGTAGAACATCTCTGCAGTAGTTGCATGGTCTCTGCAGAGAATACTAGCAGGTAAAGCAAGGTTCTGCAGTTAGGAGGAAGTGTTTGTGACTTTACCCAGTAATGCTGCTCAGTACTCTTTGTACTGCTTATAATGCTTACAGCAGTGTCATGCAACAGTTTTAATTCTGTCATGGACTGTTGTTTTTTTATACTACTTTTAAATAAATGCATTGAGGATAGATGTTACCAAGTGTTAAGTATAAACAAGGATAGACCTATTTATGATACATTTTAATAATTATTTCTGGAGGGTGATCACAGAACAGTTGAGGTTGGAGGTGATCTCTGGAGCTCATCATTTAGATGACTTCTGCTCAAGCACAGTCACTTAAAGCAGGCAACCCAGGACCACGTCCAGATGGCATTTGAACATAGAGATTCCAACACTTGCCTTTCTGGGCAAACTGTTCCCCTGCTCTGTTACCCTCACAGTGCACAATTTAATAACAAATGTTTTGCATTTTTAGTAAAGGTAAAATTGTTCATGCGTATGACTATTTATTTGATCAGAAGACGTCAATAATAAGACATAGCAAAGCCAGGCAGCATGAGATTTATAGTTCTATTGAGAAGGGGATGGTACATTTAATGACTAGAGAAATCATTCTCCGCTTTGATTTCTAACTTCCTGAGTATTAGGAAAACATAAATGGGAGAAAATATGGGCGAGGCAGAATACTACTGACCTATAAATTTGATCTGAAAGCATAAATGCATTAGTAGCAAACGACAGTATCATGATTGTACTCTGCCGAAAGAGGTCCTTTTCTAAAGAAATTCAGACGGGAGGAAAAAACACCTAAGAATTTTTCTAAATTGGGATGTAAACGTTTGCAAGATCCATGCCTACAATTTTTTTCACTTTATAAAGCTGTAGATATTCTCAACTTTAGTTACACTGGCACAGGATTTTGGATAGTGTGCTGATATGTGGCAGACCGACAGCATCATCCAATTTCATTTCTGGAAATTTAACAAGTTACAGATTCAACCTGATGAATAAAACACATGGAAAACAGTAAAAATACAGTATGCTTATTCAGAAAGTGCTTGTCAATTGTATGAACCACTTTTCAGACCTGTCTTATACGTTGTTTAGTAAAGTGCCTGTTAATCGTGAAAGTGCATTCAGAAAGTGCATGTTAATTGTATTAACCACTCTTCAGACCTGTCTTATACATTGTTTAGTAAAGTAATGAAATCATAATCTCTTCAATAGATGTTTGAGAGAAAACTTACATCCCAGACAGCACCTTTAGTTGCCTAAACAATGCAGGAAGTATGTTAGTGAAAGGAAACATGATGTTTTGGGATGGGGGTGGAGGGTGAGGGAAGAACAACCAAAGGCTAAACCTACATACATTCATTCTCTTTCTCCATTTCCATTTCTTCCCAGAATGTTATACAGCAAATGGGGCTGACTATCGTGGCACTCAGAACCAGACCTCCCAATATGCAGGGAAACCTTGTCTTTTTTGGAATGAAACCTTTGAGCATCCTTATAATACTTTGAAATATCCCAATGGGGAGGGAGGGCTTGGAGAGCATAACTACTGCAGGTAAGAAGTATCTTGGCTACTAACATTGCCTGATTACCCAGTATTACTTTAAACACTTGACAAAAAATTAGGAAACTTCCTATCACGCAGTGAAGAATGTCAGAACCATGGATGTCTAATAGGTTTTGGTTTATCCTGTAATCAGTACCCTGAATCTTCAAGCACCATTAGTAGAATAACTTTATCAACCCAGCTCTCACACAAAGTCCAGATCATATATCCAACCTGTATTTGGCATCATGGAGAAAGACTAGAGGTTACTTAAATGAAAAGGTGGAGATAAAAAAAATTATCCATGTCACAAGTATAGAAGCACTAGTGAATGTCTGTGGAAGACTGCAACATTATGGTTTTTATCCTCACCCACAAGCCTATTTCTGTTCTCTGTTCCGTTTCTGAGTTTTTTGCTAAGTTCTCAGCGTAAGCTTTTCAGTGACTTAGAGCTGTTGCTTGAATTTGGAAGCTCAACTGTCAGTGGTTACAACACCAGCTTAAACCATGGCAGGTCCCCTTTCATTTCCTTGCCTTCTAAAGAGAGGTAGAAGTTCTGTGGGTAGAACTTGGAGTGAAACTTAAATAAGAACTCCAGAATTTAGGAGGCAAATAAGAATAAGTTCAGAGATGTTTAGGCTCTGCAGACTCTTTTTAGCCTGCAACATTTAACTCCCTGATGTTGTGCATCAGGAAGTTACACGCAGTTTTATCTTTGCAAGGACTGACCAGCTAAGTTTTTATACCTGTCTATACTTCCTATGGAAATAGGTAGGGAATAACCTCATAGATACATTTCTTAAACAGCGATAGTCATCAGCTCATCTAGGACACTTATAAAATTGAGTGGTGTCTCTCACTGTGTAATGAGAACAGAGATGTTCAACCCATGCGGTTAAGAACTGAGTTACCTGAGCCATAGCAATGTCTTCTCCGTGAGAAGGTTCAAACCACACCTCAATTCTTCTGGAAGATACTTCTACTTGGCAGGCTATAGGCGTTCCAGGGTAGAGCCTATACAGTTGACGCCTTCAAACTTTACCATATTTAATCACAGACAGACAAAATATAACAGAGACAGAACCAGACAGTTAATGGAGAATAACTAAGAAAGCACAAAGAAGGGGTCTTGTGACATGCAGCACAGGGATGAGCACACTGATGAAAGGAGTCAGTTGTGTTTCCAGAGTATTTGGTGCCTCAGCAGGGTATTTCTGATTGGGGAACATTGGTGAAGGGCAGGGAAGAAAAAGACTTGGGATCTTTTCCAGTGGCTACATCAGTGCTTCAAAATAACATTGTTCAATGTGTTACACCAGTGGACTCTGTTTTCAGCCATAGAAGGAGAAAGCATTATTGCCAACTTCAGAATTGATGCATTTTTTTGAATCAGTTCAGCATCTTGGAGGAGCAAAAACTACACCACCTACTAAAGAAACACTATAGAAGTTGGCCATTCTCTTGAGAAAACCCTTCAGGCAGTCTAGTAGCTGATTGGCATGTGAGCACTGAAAAGACTGTTCCCCTCAAAAGCATTTTACACCAACTTCACAGCTTCACTCAGCCCAACACCACAAAGTGCATAATAATTTTCATGACATGCAGAGAGATGTGTCTCTCAGTGCACATAATAATATGGAGCTATAGAAAGGCGAGTGGCCACTGAATTAACTCTGATACAAACAGCACAATCAAGAAGGTAATTTTGATTGTTGCTGTATGTCAATATCCTAGATGTTTATGCAGGTATTCAAGTTATCCTTATTAGAGTTTCACTTTACTCAGCAAATGAGGAGCAAGAAGCCTATAATTTGGTATGTAAGCCTGAGAAATTCAATTACCAGATACAGCTTTTTAGCCTCAATCTACTGGGTGTTAGATTATCCCCTTTGAGGTGAAGTTTGACTGGAAGGTTAGCCATTTCCTTCTTTGTTGTATCACTTGGCCCAAGAGTATTCTCACAGGTGTATGAAATGATGATCCTAATGAATAAATGCTTTTTGACTTCACATTCTGTTGGAAAAGAAAAAAAAAAGCTTGCAAAGTCACTGTTTTAAGAGTGTCAGAGCATATCTTTAGCATGCAAATCTTGTCAGGGCTTCATGGGTGAAGATACTGCTGTTTTAGCTGTTTCTCGCCACTCATTTGCTTTGTGACAACAGACAAGGTGATCTTCCCTTCTCACAAGGCTTTTTTAGGGCATACTATGATCCTCTGAGGCTCAATTTTAAGGACAACATTTGAATAATGTAATTTTACACTTAAAGCACTTATCAGAAGCATGTTATCTCTGCATGGGTGGTCCCTACTTGGAATACTTTGTTTACTGCAAGACACCCTGTTATGACAGAAATTCCTCATAATGTTCGGCTAAACTTAATTTTAGCCATAACAGAATTATGTGGACTGAAGTTTTTGGAGATTTTGAAAGACACTTGATTGTTTTCTGTTTGTGTGCACTTTTGAGGTTCAAGGCAAAGATTTCTAAAGATGTTTATCACATTTCTCTGCAATTTCCTTGCATTTTAAGGCATTTATAAGAGGAGTGCCATTACCATGATTCAGTTACAGACATCTGATTTCTGTCACGCAAGTGTAAATGCCAAATTTCCTGTAAGTGTGAAACCAAAGAAAATTGTGTTATTTCCGAGTACAAGCTTTCCTTGATACTAGTTTTCTTTCTTTAGCCACTGGAAGCTCTGCCATTACACCTAAATTCCAAACACACTAGTCTTCCTCGTGCACTAGTCTGTTGAAAGCCTAACAGCAGCATTTTAATCAGCTAAATTGAAGTTAACTTACCAGTTGTCTTCAGAATTCTGTTATTTGACAAAAAACTGTTCCCAGCAGTTCAAAAATCGGATCTCCCACAAAGACTTGTTAATGTGCCCAAATTACAAGATGCAGCTGAACTGACACTTCAGTGTAGGGGGGTCTCTTCATAGAATTCATGCCGAAGTACATGATAAAAAGATTGTAGTTGGCCCTAGTTAACAAGAAGAGGTCTTATTTCAACCTGACTGTCCAAAATAACAAGTTAATTTCTTAAATGGATCTTTTTAATACAAATAGTTTTTCAAATTGTACATACAAAGAAACTTTAAATAACCTAATTACTAATTAGGTATGCACTTGTAAATGACGCTACACAAAATAATCAAATAAGCAAAGAATAATCATGGATGCATAAGGAATTATCCATCAATATATCAGATCACTGGAACGAATTTACTCAGCTTTACTGAAAAGACAAGACCTGAGGCTTTCCCAGAAGACTTGATTGGATAAATATTTTTATCATCATACATACAGAAAGTTGGAGTCTGGACTGTTTTGTACCAAGGCAGAAATCAGGTTTAGGAGTCTAAAGAACCTCTACACATGATCTTCCTCAGTACTGGCCAGAAATAGCTCTGCACCTTTTATACTTAAAGAAAAAATAAGTTAAGTTTTAGATGCTACTAGCTTGTTGTGTACTATAATAAACAGTGATCTGACCACTTTTGCATTTTTCTTGGTAAGTCAGTCCAACGAGTTAAATATTAATTGTTATAACAAGAATAATAATGACACCAAAGCTTAATAAAATTGATTTTTATGTGGGTTTTTTAAAAATACTTGATGACTTTTCACTCACACACTATTCTTCTCTTTCAGGAACCCTGATGGAGATGTGAGCCCATGGTGCTACATTGCAGAACATGAGGATGGAATATATTGGAAATACTGTGAAATTCCATCCTGCCGAAGTAAGAGCACCATGAAATTTTTTTAGGCCTGCATCTCTGTTTAAGGGATATTGGCAGTTACACCACAGTGGGTACTGATTTTCGAACAGAAACTAGGATAAGGCCAGTCAGCTTATTTTCATTTGCAGACTAAGCGATATTTTAAATGGGTCTCTGGACAAACGTAAACTTACTGAAGTGTTCCTCCATTGCTATCCTTTTGATCTCATATCAGAATTACTGGATTATATTATTTTCAAATAATACCAGACAGAAAATTACTCAAAACTTGAAGTACTGCTAGTATTTTAATCCATAAAAATATGTCATTCATTTATTGAAATCTAGAGGACAGAAATTAATAGGAAATTATGAATTAATTTTTTTACAAGTTACATGTGTCCATCATTTGCAGTTAGCTTGTAAAATGATGGCATTAGTTTAATGTGTATAACACATCATACACAGAATTGCTTGGAAGAAATAAATAGAGTGTGAGAGGACATAGTGAAAAGATGGCTATTTGTTTGGTGTATGGGAGCTCTGGTCTAGAATTCTGTTGCTTGCTAGTGCATATACTTAGCATTGATGTGAAACCACAAACTGGACTTGGGTATTTTAACAGGTCATTCACAAGCTATTCACCTGAAGCTTCCTCCTGGTATTTAATATTTTTAATGTATTACATTATTTACTTGTCCAAAATGTGGAGGTTTTGTCATGATGCTCCAAGAGCTGGTGAACTTCTCTCATGGAGACAGGCTGAGAGAGCTGGGCTTGTTCAGCCTGGAGAAGAGAAGGGTCTGGGGAGACCTTTGAGCAGGTTCCAGTGCCTAAAGGGGCTACAGGAAACCTAGAGAAGGGCTTTGGAGAAGGGCCTGTAAGGACAGCACAAGGGGGAATGTCTTTAACCTGCCAGAGGGGAGATTGAGATGAGCTCTTAGGCAGAAGCTCTTCCCTGTGGGGGTGCTGAGGCGCTGGCACAGGGTGCCCAGAGAAGCTGTGGCTGCCCCATCCCTGGCAGTGCTCAAGGCCAGGTTGGACACAGGGACTTGGAGCAAGCTGCTCTAGTGGAAGGTGTCCCTGCCTGTGGCAGGGGGTTGGAACTGCATGAGCTTTAGGGTCTCTCCAACCTAAGCCATTTTGTGATCCTATGATTCGTGACAATATGTTCCAAAATTTCCTGAATGCTCCAGGATAAACTCTTAAGAATCACATTCTTTAAAATATGCCTAAATATTAAAAATATATTCCAGATTTGCATGTTAACAAGCAACCATAACTACACATTTTAAGTCTAATAGTTTATGCCTTTAGTTGCTTTCCTAACTTCTGTGTGAGTACTCTCTAATGGATAACATGTATGCTGTTAATCATCATCAGTTGTCCTTAGGTAGGGATACTTTCAATTGGAAGAAGTATATTTCTTACTTGAAGTAAACAAAACCAAACAAAGAAAAATGGATCTGAAAAGATTTTTTTTACTTTGTTCACAGTTTGTTTTTTTTTATGAATGTGAGTGAGTCACTTCTCCAAGCAAGGCAAACAAATACATATGTGTGACCTTAAGTCAGGTGACTTACCCAGACTTAAATACAGATTAGGGAGTCTAATTTAAATAACACAAAATCATTTAACACCCCAATTCTCATTGTTCAGAGGACATCTTACTCTTATTTTTCTGATATACCAGGTCCTATTTAGGAAATGTGACCCTCCTAATTGAGAGATTTATCTTGGTCTAAAATGGAAGAATTTGCATTTTCTATAAAGACCACAGATGTTAACAAATTCTCTGGATATGGCACCAGTAAAAAAGCTGAAAGGCAAATTCTCTCCCCTCCATTTGTTCTACACAAAGGATCCTTTTAAAAGCAGCCTCACTCATTTTCTCTGTGGTGGGGAGCAGAGGATTTAAAGTTGGACAGTTACTTGCACAGATAATCCAGACTTACATTTAAAAAATGTCCCTTTGGCCAGTAGCAGCTGCTTCAAGCATTGCACTGAAACTGGATACTAGAAAAAGGAATTGCAGCAATTTAGAACAAACTGTACATTGCAAGCCCATCCAAGTCTTAATACAAACCTCATGGTGTATGAAGCTGTGTAAGGAAAAAAAAAGTAATAACCCCCAAAAAAACAAAACAAACCTTTTATTCTTTAACAGATTTTCTGTTTTCAGTAAGCATGATGCTGAATCATAGGACCATCAAAACCAACTTGTGAAGTGCATAATACAAAACTGAGTTCTGTGAACAGAAAGCAATTGTGTAAAGAAATGCTATTTTTTAGAAGTAAAAATTGTCTTACATAAGCTTATTTTCCATAATTATATTTACTACTAGAAAAGTATCTGGAGCATAATTTACTTATAAACTATAACCACACACACCACTACAATGCCAACAACATGAAACATCTTGATTGCCTACAGAGATTTGCATGCAGTGATTCACTGTTACAATAATTAAGGATCTACAGTTAAGAATTTTTCATTATGATGATGATTTCACATGATTATATCGTGTGTCTCATTCACTAATACTTATATGTAACATTTAATTCAGAAATGTGTTCTGGCATTCTGCATGTGTAAACATGCTGTAGAGAATTTAGTAATGTTAGATGAGGATGGATGGGCATAATTACAGAAGACAGTGGTAGTTACCTCAGTAGGAGCTTAGTCTTCCCTTTTCTTCCTCTCCTTCTCTTAATGGCTTGTCTGCTAAGCAGCCTGGAATGGACATAAACAAAAGGCAAAAAGGCAGCACTGAGTCCTGAGAGAACATGTGCATCTCACATGGAGAATTCAGAACCAAATGCTTTAGATGGTTTGTTTGCAATGTTGCAGCTATTCCTGACTTCTTTTTTTTTTTTATCTCTTTCTTTGTTAATGAGGTTAGGTTGAAATTCAAAGGAAGTAACTTAGGCTACCAAAACGTAAAAGACTTGCAGTCTTACTTAATTGCATCTCCATGTTTGTGGCCCACGTGAGTCTCTTGCCATAAACAGATTTCCTGTGTGCATATATGTCATCTAGTAAAGTTGACTGAAATATTGATAAAGTATTAAATAGCAGAGCCAGATAAGTTATACAGAGCTGTATCGATCACTCCAAGATTGACTTGTCCAGATTTTAACACAAGAATGAAGGGAGTAGCTTGCACAATTTGAGACAGTATCCTGGTGCAGACCAGACCAACCATTGCAAAAAGCTACAAGGTTTTTGAAAGACACATGGACGAGCTTAGCTGGAATACGGTTTGGAGCTCAAAAGGATGAATTCCATGATTTAATATGTGTGCCTTAATGTGTAATATGCAGAAGCTCTGGTGTTTGCCAAGACCTCATTATGTCATATGCTGCTTAAAAGACAAATAGCATGCTTTCATAAAAGAGGTGACATTTTAAGCACAAGAGAACAAATGGGTGAAGACAGTGTAATGGTGAGACATCACTGATCAGCATGAACAGTAATTGCAGAATATTGACTATTTCAGTTTTGCAAAGTTTCCTTAGTAGCTAGAACAAATTAAGGCAAAAGATTATGTTGAAAATTTTTAAAGCTCAGAGTAACTAAACAGTCATTACCTATCTAGAAGCACTTTTGATTCTTCATTGCTTTACATATGTATACTTACATATATATGTATATATACATATGTATATATGTACACGCATATGTATATATACATATATACATACACACACATATATACATAGGGTTGTAGGATACCCCAGGTTGGAAGGGACCTCAGGCCGTCATCTCCTCCAGCCTCCTTGCACAAGGTAGGGCCAGCTCTGAGATCAGACCAAGTTATTCAGTTTGTGAGGTTAGACCAAGTTTATCGCGTCAGGCCATGAGAACCTCCAGGGATGCAGAATACACTCCCTCTTTGGGCCCTTGTTCCCATGCTTGACTGCCAGCATGGTGAAATGATTTTCCTTGTATCCAGTCTGAACATCTCATGTTTCAACTTAAGCTCATTACTTCTTGTCCAAAACGCATCACTGTGAAGAGCCCGGCTCCACTGTTGTGACAACCTCCGTGCAGGCATTGCAAAGCTGCTGGGGAGTGCCCAGAGCCTCTGAGTGGTGCCTCAGGTTTAGGACCAGCCGTCAGTAGCCATAGGAAGAGATGGCATATCAAAATCATATATGCATGTACAGAGTAAACTTTTACGTGTGTTGCCCCAGTTCAGGGGACTGTTTATTTATATATTTGGTGTGGGACTATGAAGTTCTTTTAGATGAGCATATATCCTTCAGCTCATGTCATTTGTTGATTTGATGTCAAAGTTATCTGAAGAGCTGGGCAGTGACATGGAACTTACTATTCACTGTTGGGTTAGATTGATGCTTCTCTTGTTTATTCCAAATCACAGGACACTAATTTTGTTTGCTAGAGAAGAGAAAGTTAAAATGCTGTTGGGACACCAGGGAGACTAATTAAGCTGTACCCAGATAGTAGGCTTGATTTAGTTACACAATATAAGCAGCTTTTAAATTGCTCAGTCTGGTTGCTTAGCATGGAACATAACTGAAGTACTGATCCTCTGGAGAAAAGGCTGAAGGGTCTCACCAATAAAGTTACCTTAAAAAAAAAAAAAAAAAGTAGAATTTTAAGAAATCCCAAGTCTCCAAGGAGAATGAAGCTTTCTCAGGGTCGTGAAATCTTGCACTGTACAGAAAAACTGAGCGCTCAGAGTTATCTGCCCAGCTGCACTCAGCTGGGGTGGGGCTGCAAATGGGGATTTCCAAAGGTATGTTAAATCAGGCTGTAACTTGAAGTCGCAGTACTCATATGCATGTTGGTGCAGGGCATACCAAAGCCATAATTCTGTGCAAGCATTTATAATTTAAATTGTGTCATTCTCAGAAAATTATTTTATGAACAATATTTCAAGCAACAACATCTAATTCTTCAAAAAATATATAAATTCAGTTTACATTATGAAAATATACAATATGAATTTTCTTCCCAACTTCATTAATTCTTCTTTATAACACTATACTCATGCTCCTTAAGAGTATAACCATATATACACCAGTATATTTGCTGGTCACTAAGAGATATGCTAACCCTCTTCCTCAAAATGAGGAAGCTGCCATAGGCAACATAGCCTAAGTATGGGAGCAGGAACTCAGACCTGTTAACTGTTCCAGATGTCAGAATGATTCCAATTTTAACAGTAAACTGTCATCAGTTTACGAGCTTAGTGTATCATATTCCAAAGAATAAGGACAAACCTATCTTTGTTAAGATCAGACAAACAGAAATTCTGAACTCAAAACATTATTTCAGCAGCTGCTGCACATGGACATGAATCAGAAATCCCAGAAATGGGCCTTCCAGAATCCAGTGAAGAGATACTTTCAGGACTACTATAAAGACTTCTCAGTACAAAAAGCATCATTGCATTCCTATGGTATTTATGTGATAGTATAATAATACAGAAGCAGTTTACTAACACATGGGTTATCTGATAGAGAAAAGGACCACCTGTACAAGAGATGACTAGCTCAAAAGGAGCCCCAAAGCAACTGAACCACATGCTAACAGGCATCGGACGCTGCTTCCCCCTACCCCTCACCCCCCAAAAAAACAAAACAAACCAAACCAAAACCCCCAAACCAACCCAAAACCCTGTTGGTAAGTCAAAAACCTGAATCAGTACTGTGGGACAGTAGTGAGAGTTCAGAGTTTACTGGGTACTGGAATAACAAATGACTGAGAAAGTCAAACTCTTACACAGTCTCTTACCGCATCACATGTTATACATAGTAGTGGACGTGAACAAAAAATAATCCTTGTCAATCTGGCACAGAAATAAAAACTATCTGACCAATGAGCTGGTAACAGATTAATTCCAAGTATGTAAGCAGATACGACAAGTAGGCAAGGGATAATTTTATGCCATTAGCACAGCACTATATTGTACCCTATATCCTCTCTCTAGTAGTCATGTCTAAATTCCAGTGCTTTGATGAAAACTGCAAGAACAAAACAAAACAAAACCAGAGGACAAATTATGCATTGAAGGGTGAAAACTTTCTGATCTGCCATACTGACCAGCGAGCCTTGAAGTGTTGATTCGTACTAGTATAACTAGATGTTTCTTAAAAAAGTAATATTGCTCATTTTCAATCTCTTTTTACACACCAAAAAATATATTTTAAATTCATACCAGAATTTGAATTTTAAATATTAAGAAATTCTCCTACATAAGTATATAGACCCTCCCATAAAACTTGATAAACTCCATCCTAAAAGAGCTTAGGTTTCTTCTCTCAAGTATCCTGTTTAGAAAACTTCCAGAATGTCATTGTTTTGAAGATCAGACTGAAATCACAGTATTGATTTTACATGGTTAGGATATGAGTGGTAGTATTTTAAAACCTCCAAACCTCTGAACCCATGTAATAATGCCGGGTTTTTTTTGTAATTGTCTCTATCAAGAGAAATGAAACAGGTATTTACCTTGTCTGTATTACTGTGGCTTACAGAAACCAACTACAGAGTATTGCAGGTGTATTGCTAAGAAGATATGATGCTATTTCACTACCTGTCATTTATCCCTGGACATGTTTGGAAAATATAACAAGGATCTAGAATAGAGTAACATTTCCCATACTGCAAAATGAAGACAAGGACATATAGAGAGCTGCCTAGGAGCCAGGTAGTGCATAAAGTGGTCTGTGTCTTGGGTGTTGCCAGGCACACCTTTAAAATGACTGTTGTCTGTTATCCTTGCCAGTGCCAGGGAATCTAGGGTGTTACAAGGACCATGGAGAGCCACCACCTTTGACTGGCACCAGCGAGACCTCCAATAAACTTACTATTCAAACATGCATCAGCTCCTGTCGAAGTCAACAATTCAAGGTGATTTCTTTGAAATACATTTACAAGATATTTTCAAAGACAGACGATAGCAATATGCCAAGAGCTCTTCATCATATTTCCCTGCCCCCCTCCCCACTTTTTTTTTTTAACCTTTAGGAGGTCTAAGGTCTCCCTCTGTTCCAGGGACCTAGCCCTCTCTCTGCATCCAGAGCAGTTTGGGCAAATGACCAGTGAATAATGCCAGGATACCAGGACAAAATATGCTTGCTTCCTGCAGTTATGAGTGATAGGGTGCCCTAATTGCCCTCCGCTTGATCTTTCTCAAGTAGCATCCTGACAGCTCAAACAAAACCAGTTTGTGGTGGGACCTTTGACTAATCATACTTCTCCAAAACACACATACTCTGCCACCAGCTTTCTTGCTCATGCAGCCTCCTGCTGTCTCTCCTTTAAATATTATCCTTTCCTTCCTTATGCTTCTTTGTTGTCAAAGTTTGCAGGCATGGAGTCAGGTTATGCTTGTTTCTGTGGAAATAATCCTGACTACTGGAGATACGGGGAGGCAGCCAGTACGGAATGCAACAGTGTTTGCTTTGGAGACCATACTCAGCCTTGCGGTGGGGATGGCAGAGTCATTCTTTTTGACAGTAAGTATTGAAACAGACACAGTTTTTCCCAAAGGAGAGGCCTCAAATGTTCAGCAAATTAGGGAAAAGGGTTTAAATGCAGTGAGAACAGTTGCACACAAAACATCAAAACACCTAAATTCAGTATAAAAGAAAGCTGCTTTCCATTTCGGCATAAAATTCACATCCATTAATAATGTGAAATCGTTCTTCCAAGAAATTATGCCTGCTCAGGCAACTAATTCATGCTGTAGAGGTTGTCTCTTACTTCCCTACAAATGGTACTAACTCAGCTACCACAAACAGTATGTCATAGAAAGACTCCTTCAGAACTGATCTTACCAGAGGGTAGATACATGATCAAGTGAGGTGCCTCAAATAAAATCTCAATCTATAATAACTTGGGCTTTTTTATTAAACCAAACAGAACTTGGTATAAACCAGTTAACACCACTCTTCCTCCTTTTCTTTTCACAGCCCTTATTGGTGCCTGTGGAGGGAATTACACTTCTGCTACAGCTGTGATCTATTCCCCAGATTTTCCTGACACATACGGCACAGGCAAAGTCTGTTACTGGACCATACAAGTTCCAGGAGCATCCCAAATCCACTTCAGCTTTGCCCTTTTTGAAATCAAAGATGCTACAGATATGGTGGAACTGCTGGATGGCTATACGTATCATGTTCTAGCTCGTTTTAATGGCAAGAACCGGCCTCCCCAGACATTTAACATCTCTTTGGATTTTGTCATTTTGTACTTTTTCTCAGATGAAATTAATCAAGCCCAGGGATTTGCTATCAGATACAGAGGTAAGAGACCAACTTTGCTGTTTCTACCTTTCAATGAGCTGTTAAAGCATTTAATTAACATAAAAGATTTCTGAATTGGCAAAAAAAGAGCAAATATTTTTAACTCCCACATCTACGGGTGTTTCTTCTATCTTATTGCCACTGCTCAGTGGGTAAAAGCTTCACTAACATTTCACTGTTCAGAACACTCCAGCCAGATATGTCATAAAATAGCAAAATATAGTTTTTAAAAATTAAATCTTATACATACCTGTCAAATCAGATTGGAAAATGACAAGGCTGAAACAAAAGACAGTAGTCTGCCTGCATCTTTGTTAATCTTGGCTCTTCACAACAGTCTGTTACACTCAGAAGAAAACATATTAGTCCTTCAGTTGTACCTACTGTTATGATGAACAGCAGCTTCCAGAAAAATTTGGAGAACCCCAACTTGTTGAAGTACAGGCTTTTTCTGGCATCAAGCATAATTTGATTATTGGAGATCTATAAGTAAACCAGAGAGCTGCTTACAAGCACAAAATAAAATCCAGCTATACCTTTTAAGAAATTATAATAATCATACTCTTGTGTTTCCAGCTGTGAAGGACAACGTGCATCAAAACAAGATTCTAGTGAATCAGACCTTTTCAGAGAAGATAAATGAACAAGCAAATCTCAGCATCAGTGCAGCCCGGTCATCAAAGATACTTTATGTCATCACAACCAGCCCAAGTCATCCCAGTAGCTCCATGCCTGGTAATATTACAAGAAAATGTGGAAGCAGGAAAAACATGTTGCCAAGCCACAATCTAGAGTCACTATTTTCTTTGCCTCCTGTACCACATTATGTGATCCACTATGCCTTTTACCAATAGATAAATTTTCATTTAGTCTAATTACCACTAACTGTGCTGCTCTCATGACTTTCCAAAACTCACTTCTTGGCCTAAGTCAGTTAGAAATACTGTGAAGATGCTGACTCCTTGAGAATGAAAGCACATAATAATATGTGAATCAAAGCAGTCTCCTTACTAGAATCAGCTTCAGTGACCAGTGCATACCATAGAGGTGGCAAAAGGCACTGAAAAAAGAGTAAGCTTTTGTAGTCTGGAAGAGCCTCAATGCAGAATGTGTCCCAGTCACACCAATTCACAAAAACTACAGCAGTAATACAAAGAGGGCTCTACAAGGATGAAACAAGTTAATGGGTGTAGGGAAAATGCTACTGAGAACTCTTACGTAAGTGTCTAGAGCTCACTTTCAAGGCACCATTCAGGAAATTGACTGGTAAACAACTGTGGAAATGAGTGGAAATGCATTCTTGCTGAATATCACTTTTGGCCTCTCCTGTCTTTCAACTACCCTGAGTATATCTATGTTTATATATTGTTGAAGCTGGGCCATGATCACACTGTGGGCTCTCTGATAGCTGTTATAAAACTAGGCCATCTCCTTGCAAACACAGAGTCACTACTGGTAGCATATATCCTAGTATGTTCTTTAGTCTGCTTTTAATTTTTCCTCTGAGTTTTGATTCCTTTCCTAGAGACTAGTAAATAATTTTACTGGTATATGCTTTGATTTTCCCAGCTTTAAATTTTAGGGATCAGTCATGCATGGGGAAAAAACAGTTTTGACTGAGAGTTACACAGTTTCTGCCAGCCTTTACAGAAGATACTTACAGGTATAAGACACATCGAAATTACAGTTTTGAGTAACGCATTAGAAGGCTATGGGTTTCTTTTGGGTTTCTTTTGTGCAGTATTCTTACATTAAAAACTGTAAATAAATGAATGAACTGAGAACTTCTCCTCTCCCTCTCCTCTTTTACAGAGTGGACAATATATAGTCTCACAGCATTGCTCATCCTAAGTATTACAGCCATAATAGCAAAGATATTCCTCCACATTACCATGAGGTGAGTCTGGAGCAAAACTGGCCTTGAGAACTGACATCTCAGCTCTGTACCAAACCTGACGCACTTCATTTCTCTGCCTTATGATATTGTCAGATTGGCCATATTCAAATCTAAGTTATATATTACATATTTGTATCCTCATAAAAGCCACTAAATAAGCACATTTTTGGAACTTTCCAGTCTGTTAGGATAGCATTTGCTGCTGGAATATTTACTTTGGTCTTGTTTTCACAAAATTTGTATTTTAAGGAATAAAAAGGCTTCTCATAGTGATGTTATAGAGCAAGGAGGAAAATGTAATCAGTCATCTGGCATTGGGGGAGGAAGAGTTCAAATTATGATAATACTTTGTGGGGAAAAAATTAAAACCCCATCACAGCACAGGAAACTGGGGAAAAGAGTTAGATAAGGGCTAGTTAATATTGTCTTTTACTGAAATATCGAAAATGGTTCAAAAAAGAATCACAGAAATCAAAATCTCTATTATGGTGTGACACTTAACCAGTTTGTTGGTTTGGGTTTTTTTTGTTTTTTTTTTTGTCTATTAATAAAAACAACATATTATTACTGTATTTCTCTACACTTACACCAACTAATTTTTGTGTCCTCTAGATGGACACTCATTGAATAAAATGATGGGTGAGTTATCAATGAATCATAAATGTTGAATATTGTATTTACGTACCACAAACAGGCTTAAATATACATGGAAATATATGTATATTAATGGCAGTTAGTGATAGAATACGTACAGGCTTCTTAATATTGTTGCTTTTGTTAGGGTAGCAGCTATTCTAGCAACAGAATGCCTAACTTTTCATTTGGTCAAGAAACAACCAACAAACAACCCCAGAACCCTATGCAACTGTGCCACAGGTAGAAAGAAAAGGTGTCACAGATTTAGTGGAAAGTGACTAAAACCAGCAGCACCCCAAGCACCTTAACACTCACAGTGAATTAACACATTTTTTAGATCCCATCAGATACCATCTGCAACTGGAACAGAAGATTCCAATGAGGTTACCTCTGCTGGAGAGATCTGGAGTATATTTTACCAGCCATCCACATCAATATCCATCTTCAAGAAAAAGCTTCGAAGTCAACAAGATGATTGCAACCCACTGGTGGGAAACTGAAGTGTCTTATGTTACAAGAATCAACCTTCTTAAAATCCAGGTGACCTGGGAATAATTTTTTTTCTTTCCTCTGAATCTCATACTTGTTTTCCAAAAAGTGCATTTTCCAAAGGCTTTTGAGTGACTTTGCCTGTCTTCTGCTCTCTTGGGTACACTACAGGCAACAGGAGCAATTAATTGCAGCAGTAGTTTTGAACTATCTGGTGTTCATTGAATCTGTGGTGCTGTTAATTACTGCCTTGAGACCAGTGCACTTAAGATCTATGTAAAAACCTGTGAAACGCCCTGTACTCCTGCAAAAAGTAACTGAAGGAGTACCTGCAGGTTGAGGACTTCTTGTGTCCTGCTTTGCTGTGTAACTGTATCGTGTCAGGTTACTTTAGTCCCTTTTATCTCATGGCTGAAGACTGAGATAGGTACTGATGACCTGTTGAGCTTCCACAGCAACCAGAATTCACTAGCCTGGATATCAATGTGTCTAACTGGTTCTATACAGTAAAATGGGAGTCGAAGACTTTGAGATCAGCCTGGTTGCCCAGTGCTCTGCTGTTTCTATGGTTTCTGTTTCTAGAAGCAGAGATGTACAAATAAAATCAAATTCAGGAGACAAACACACTGGAATTTCAGCTGCAAATGTGAGTTTTGATGGAGAAATGCTTACCACGTCAGGATCTCAGAATCTGCACAAGCAATGGAGGCTTTTAAATGACTATGTTTGACCCATCATTCACTGATGATTATGATGATTTTGTTCATATTCACAGTGATCTTTTAAAACACTATCATACTCCAGACTGAAGTCCTGGATGTAAGCCTGGGACTTCTTAAAGGATTGTCCAAAGAAATTGTAAATCCACTGAATTTTTAAACAGTGAGGCTGACTAAGACAAATTCTTACTCTGAAGTTAAAGATACTGATCTTGGCAGCCTAAACTATGTACAAAGTTGTAGCCTGCTATCAACAACTCACCTATGCCAGGCTGCGCATCTGAACACACATACAAGTTGCCTTGATACTTACTTGTGAGAAGAAAAAGTGTCTCTGTGCCTGCAAAATTAAAACTGAACTGCATTTTTAAGATTAATACTCTTAACTGTCAAAGAACTAATACATCAGTGGGGACCTGATCTGTGAAATTTCTCATTGATTGCAACAGACAGCATTAACTCTTTTTCCTCTATGGTAGAATATCTGTCTGCCCACAGTGCTCAAACTTCTCATCCCAGCACTGGGGATCAACAGTGGTGATCTTCAACCTTTCAGCCTCAGCCAGTCAGACCAGCAAGATATTTGGGAAAAGCTGACAATGCAGAAATCAGATAAATTGACTGGAAAACTGAATGAACAGCTCTGTGAACTAAGTTACAGGAAATTCAGTGACAGCCATTAAAATACAAATGGACAAATGGAATAGATATCAGTTTAAATATACACCAACAGTCAGTGTATATCAGACCTGCAGTCACAGAACAACTATTAAATGCATCTGCAAAAGAGAACTAATAAACTTGTAACCAAGTTTAAATTCTTTGTAGTATCTGCCCTTCTGTTTTTAACATGTAAACGCCTACTCTTCATGAGGTCTAGAGATTTCTTTGAAAAAACAGGCACGTAAGACTAGACAATGAAATACTGTGCCTTACTTGCCATTGTAGATCTAGTCTTTTACCTGAATTTAATTCATTCCAGCTCCATTTACGTACCACAGATGAGTGCCAGAGACAGCTGAACAATACCACAACAAATGCTTAATAAAAACAAGACCTTACTGAGACAGCATTTATGGAATTGTTTATATAAAAAACGTGGAATATCATGGGAACATCTAGTACTTTATTGCATGAGCTGCTGGAAAGAATGTAGGAAAATACAATTACCGTATTGCCTAAAATCAAGACAAGGCAAGTTGTAAAATACACTTGTTACCTCTTTCGTGTCATCAGATTGGGCCAAAAAACATTACCTCTTTCAGAGCAAACAGAAAATTCTGAATTGCTCTTTTAACTGTCAAGTTTTGCATCATACTGTGTAGGGAAGGTGTCCACCTCACAGATTCCTAGCAAAACAAATTGGTTTGCTTCCTAAGCATGCTTAACATGGTTCAGTAATGGAAAACTGGGAGAAGAGTTATGCTGTAAAGCTAGATCCCTAAGAGAGAAGTTATGAGTACACTGTGATCAAGCTGTTTGCTTGCCTTATTAAATGTTCTTGAGCAGTTAAATAGTCAAACAGTCAAATGGATATTCTTAAAGCAGCTAATGCTAATAAACTGGGGAAAAAAAAAAAATCAGTGTCCCATGACTGATTTCTGCCTACTGCAGAATGAAAAAAATACAGAACTGTTTAGACTGGTCTTCAGTAAATAATGTAATTTCCCTGTAAAATTAGAGAAAGCCCATCACAAACAACAACAAAAAGGACAAATGCTGCTAATGCAAAATCAGAGAATTTAGAAACTGAGATTTTGCTTTGGTCCCTTAGTCCTCAACTATTTTTTAAATAATAAAATCGCATTTCATGGGCCTGTCTTAGGGAATGTTTACCCAGTTTCTGTACAAAAGACCCATAAAACCAGCAGTTACAGTAGATTAACTAGCCATGGCAACAACAAACGTGGCTAAGCTTACGGTATTGGACAGTGTGCAGGTAAACACACTAATAACAGTATAGAGGAAATTGTTATGTCTCCCCCACCCCCTCAATCTTTCAGATTGTCTGAGTCTAGATACTTTTAATACAGGGTCCCTTAAAAAGCACTTCTTCCTCTGCAGGCATGAGATCACGAGGAGCAGGTAGGGTTTCTGCTGTGGATTTTTAGAAGATTTGGTATGGTGACTTGTGCTCCTTGTGCAAACACTTCAGTGGATGGTGGTAAATGGCCAACGTTTGTGGCAGCCATTAACAGCACTTTTTGATGTTTGCTAGAAGGCTTTGGGGAGGGAAAGAAGAAAAGTCTGATATGCACAGCTGTTATAATCCCACAGGATTCAGCACTCAGGAATGGTCCTGTGGCACTAGCAGCTGAGTGCTGACAGCTGGAGGGCACGGACACCTTGGGTGGTTTGTGTTCATCGTGTTACCTTCCACAAACTGAAATGATGTGGAATTGTATCAGAATGGCCTTCTGACCTCCTACCTAGCAATTCCCTCCACAGGCCAGACAGGCTGCAAACGTGACATTGGCCACAATTTCAAAAGCAACTGGTTTGACAACAAAACCATCATGAGGAGCTGCCTCTTCATACGCAGGCATTCCTTCTTCACTCAGCTGGCTGCGTGGTGGTGCAGTAAACCAATCAGGTTAAAAATTACTATTGCTTTTTCTTCCCCAAGTTCCTTTTAACAGAGATGAGTTCTCTTGAGCTGCTTTACTGAGTGGTTGCACCGAGGTGAACTAGCACAGCTAAGTGGACAGTAAGCCATAGGAAAAAGACAGTTGTCTACCCCAGAAGCAGAGCAGTAAGTACTCTTGATAGCACTGCCATCGCAGCAGTTTGTGGGCCTGCCTTCTTGCTTCATGCAGCATCTCAGTTACAATAGTCTGCAGTGTCTGTGGCCCTCAGGTGGAAGGGGACAGCTGGACAAGTGGTGTCCCCCATTTAAAATCTACATTTGAAACTACTTTGTTGACTAGCTGATTTCTGTGTGTACTTTTGTCTTAATACTGTTATGTTGGGGGGAAATAGAGACTATGTTATTTAAAAACGTGTGATATCATAGTAATATATATTTATATATGTATAGGAAATGCATTATTTAATACAGCATGTTATGCTTGTATCTTGCTAACATAGGAAGAGAAAATGTTAGTTTACACTGTGGGAAAATAAATTTTCTATACACTGTAACCATAGAAAAAACATCAAACATAATTCACTGGTATATATGATACAAGAACACTGAGAAGAGGGTAACCCAGACAGTTTTGTGGCAGAATAGATGCTAATGAAACAATTGCTTTAAAACACTTTCCTTCTTTGAATCTCATTTCTAACTTGTAATTGTTCTGCAAATTCACATGCGTATACTCTCAGGACCATTTGAACATCAAACATGTCATCTGCTTTTCCAATTGAGCAATACCACAGTCTTTTTTAGGGCCTGTTTCTGCCAGACTTTCTACAGCCAGTGCAATGTTGAGGAGGTTTATCAGATTGCTCATGCAGACAACCCAGTGATACCACAGAATTATAGTCACTGTATTCTAAGCTCCCTTGGCAGTAGTATAAATGGGATATTTTTACTGATAGCTCTGGAAACAGTCCTGAATCTGCAGCCTATATCACTACAGGCCAAACACATCAGCAGACAATTGGCTGCCACAGCATGAGTGTGACTAGCTTTTCCAGTTTCATCTTCTGCTTAATAAGCCTTCTCAGGCAGCGGGAAGACTGCTGGCAGAATTTTCTAGTGCACCACTTTGCCTAAAGGAAGGGTGAACTACAAAAACAACTCCTGACAAAAACTTGTCCAACTAGTTCTTAATGCCAATGATATTTCACAATCTTGCAATGAAATATAGTCCAGTGATAGTTTCAACTGAATATTATTCTAGATGTTTATGAATAACCTTATCAATCTGCTAGTGTGAGATTGTGAGAGTGAAAAATATAACTTGTCTTCTGACCATACCATTTTATTTGTCACATCCCAACACACACATTTCACACAACTGGTACTTTATCCACTTCACTGAGGACCTGTGCTTTGGGATACAATTTGACATTCTGAATTTCAGTCTCAAGACAATTTACTGTAAGTCCAAAGGTTGTCACATGAACCAGATGAGACTGACAGGAAAACAGAATGAATACAACTTGCAGCAGCTTACCGCTGAACTCTGTATTTATACATGCTCATCCTGTGTCCAGCAAACGGCTGTAAGCAGTCATGATATAATTAAAAAAAACCAACACAAAACCAGTGAATTTCTGCAGGAGGGTTCAGCTTGTGCTGCTGAAGCACAGCCGGCAGCGAATACAGGCAGAAACTGCTGCAGTTCACCAGCACATTACAGCAGCATTGTCTGCTGCAAAGGGTGGAAGGGAGTAATTGCTGAAAATGGTTCCATACAGAAAATAACAGCACCGTTCTGAGAAGCAATTTCTGAGGTAGCGTCAAATTGAAGTTTTCAATTTACATGTTTCCAAACTATTAGAATATTAATTCTTCCAGTGTTTTCTCTACAGATTGTAGCAGCATGTAATGGTCTTTCGAGTTTCTTGCAAGATACATTTTTCTTTTATGAATTCCTCCTTCTGACCAAAATAATGCTACACTTTGTTGAAGAAATCTTCAGCTATATTTTATGTAAACATCTGAACACCAGCATCAGATATCAAAACTGTCTCCAGCTTCTTGTGTCAGGGCTCAAGCTCTCATTTTCTGGTAGAAACGCCACTGTTACAGGGAAGGTTATTCTGCTCTCCTTTCTTGCCATTCAGATTATGAGACTCGTCTTACACTGCTGCTTATTCTGGGGACTGCTGCCTTCTCTGTTGTTTCCTAAGCAACAGTTTCATTCCCCATGAGGGAGATGTATTCTTTGTTTTGAAAGAGACACTTTTGTGTGATCTGTTCCAAGTCACAGGAGTATGGCACCTCTGCTGTAAGGTGAAATACCTGGTTTCAGGTTTGCTGTTTTCTCCTTGGCCAAACACTTAGGCCAGGCTCCACACAGTATGAAGGCAGCTGTCATCCTTTTAAGGACACTTTTCTTACAGAACTCAAGTAACAGTGTTACCCGACAGCTGTCACAGCATTGGACAGATGGACCCAATATTGCTACAGCAAAAATGAGATAGTGTTATGAAACCACCAAGTGTTACCATAATGTACAATCTCATTAACAATAGCTTGCTCCTGCTGCTTCATGTTTTACCATATGGAGATGGTACATGAATTTGTTCCTTAAATATTGAACTCAAAAGAACCCCCCTGCCAAATATGAAAATACTGATTTTTTGATAGAAGTATGTTTACATTTAGTCATTTAAAAAAAAACCACAACAAATAAGAGACAGGATACCACAAACACACACAAACAAAACTAAGCACCACATTCAAGTTCAGCCAACAGCCCATAGCTGTCTTTCTCAAAGAGACCAAGTATGGGCTTACCAATGATTGTGTGGGACAGCACAATAGAGGTAAATCCTGTTGTTAAAAGCACTCTAGCCTCAAGATTTTCTTCAGAACAAGAACTGACAAAACAAAACACTAGTCAGCAATGGCAAACTGGGAAGGGTGCAGGGAAGGAAGAGGAACGAGGCCCAGATGTCACCTGTCAACACAAGCCTATCAGCCAAACACATATAGCAGGTTTTATGTGATTTTTAAGAACAACTGTTTAATGAACTAATTTGCAAATAAAATGCGTATCTGTAATTATTGGCAATTGCCAACATTCTGTTCATTAAGCAAAAAAAGGGCATGTATTTTGATTAGGAAGCACTTGCTGGTGCTGCTTAACTCCCTCCTGCCTGTTGCTCTTCCATTATTGTGCCTGTCTTCTCATACAGACCACCAGGCTTTCCCATTCCCATATTATCCAAGATGAGAATAATTGATGCTCATGCTAGAAAGTGTCCCATGCAACATGATACTCTTCAGTTCAACAGGCTGTCATCCCAAACATGGGAGTTCTCACAAATGAAGGAGAGGATTGGAGAGAAGTAAGGCTCATTTCTTGGCTGAATTCTGAGTGCACTTGAACATGGATGAAAGAAGGGGAACGTCAAAGGAATTACCAGGTAAAAATCTTAAAGTGAGAAACTGGA